CCCCCCTCTGGGGGGACAGGTCTGCCCGTCCCCCCCCCCCATAGCTAGCAATCCAAAACAGTCCAGTGGCACCTTTAAGACCAAGTTTTATTCAGGCACAAGCTCTCCCTCCTCTGTGAGGACAGATCTGTACGTCCCCCCCCCCATAGCTAGCAATCCAAAACAGTCCAGTGGAGCCTGAGCGGTGGGTGTTGCCTTCTGACACACTTCCGATGATGTCAGGGGGTGTGGCATATGCAAATAAGTTACGCTAATGAGTTATGCTAATGAGCTCCTGCACCTCCTTTTCTACGAAATGACCCCTGGTGATAAGTATATCTAAGATTGGATTAAACCGGTTGGTAACATTTTCGAATAGCAGCAAATTGGCATGCAGATAGAAGAATGCAGCCTGTTATAGAAAGCTCCTGCTACTTGGCTATATGGATGCAATGAGACAAGCAGAAGTTCTATACCATGTTGCTGGTAAGCACACGAAAGCTTATACCCAGAATTAAACTTTGTTTGTCTTAAAGGTGCCACTGGACTCAAACTTCATCCTAATCCTTCAGAGCAACATGACGACCCACCTGAGTCTACCGCCACATTCTTGTTGGTCTCTCAGGTGCTACTGGGTTCAAACCTAGTTTGGCCTGAACCCACCAGAGAGCCTCGTTTCCTGGGAATGATTTAGGACTCCCACACTCATCCAGAAGTATCCTTCCTCACTGGGCTCTGGGTTCAGGTTCTACTCGTTCCTGAGCTGAAAGGAAGATTCCTTGGACTCGGATGCTAGTTCTGGGAGCATAGCCACGTAGCGAAAGCGCTAAAAGGGAGCTTTCACTCTGGAAAGATTATACCCAAAAATCTCGGGGGTCTCTCTTTAAGGTGCTACTGGACGCAAATCTAACTCTTGGACTCTGGCGGGTTCTACATCCAATCCACGGGCTTTCAGGCGGCTTTCAAGCCGTCTTCTCTTAGCAATGTTTGTTTCCGCTTCAAATCTTTTGCAACGTCTTGGATCTCCGAATCCCCTGACAGACCTGGACCCTGAAGTAAATCTCCACTGATGGAAGGGATTCTCGTCAGGTGACGAGGTTTCCCTTGCTTCCCGCTTCCTGCTGCTGCCCAAGATATTGTTCATGGGGGATCCGGGGAGCCAGAAGTCTGCAGGATAGGGGTGGTATCAAAGTGCCCTCTTCCATTAACTGAGATTTCGGCAGGATCCAACCTGAATCCTGCCATCTATAGGCCCTGGCGACACACGGGGGGGGGGGCTATTTGCGCCGTTGCATTCTGACCCACCATTATGCGATCAGACATGACGGTGGCACACCGGGGTTTTGTCCTTCGACGCGCGCGCTGCAAAGAGGATGGCCGTAGGGCATAGGCACGTGCCGGCGCGATCACACCCCACAAGTACAACGTCTGCAGCCCGTGGCAAACCATTTGCTAGTAGATCTTTGCAGGTACTTTTTAACTGCGCATCTTCGGCAGCACACCACAGGTTGGCCACGGGTGCGCTACACTTCCCAGATGTTGCGGTGTGACCGCGCTCTGAAAATCCACCCAGCATTTGTGCCTTTCGCACGGCAGATTCTCCGTGTGACCGGGGCCGTAGATTCACTAACCCTGATGCAACTTCCTATGTGAAATAGGGGAGGGCACGAACCAGAAAAATTGAGGTTTGCAGAGGTTCAGGGTTTGGGGTTTTCATGAAGTTTCCACGAACTTCTCCACTGCATGAACCAGTTGTGCTTTGGGAAGTATGTGGGGCCGCAGCGACACCTGAAAGCAAACTCCAAAGGCATGTAAATGCTTTCAGAGCTCGTCTCTGGGTCAGACCGGCCTGACTGAACTCCAAGAGTGAGCTCTAATGCCTTTGGAGCCCACGCAAACCCTCCCTCGTACCTCACAAACCTCCACAAAAAATCATGGAGGTTCGTGTGGTGGACTGTGGGAGACATGTGAAGAACGAACCAACCTGGTTCGCGCTCGAACTGGGGTTGGTTGATTGGTTCATGCCCATCCCGAATGTGAACTCATATGTAGGTGATACTTCTACTTTTCCCTACTGACCATCTACTGAGTTTCCATGGTGTTGCAGACGTTTCCTTAATGCCACACACCTTCTTTTTCAGAGAGTATGAACAGAAAGACTTTCCGAGAGAACATTAGACCAGGATGGCATTACTTTGGCAGGAAAATGGTGAGTGACAGAAAGGCCTGCAGCCACTCTTTTGGCAAATCATTTTAAAGGCACAAGTAAAGCTAGATGCGAAACAAATCTTTGCAAATAATCAACTTGTGCTAACATTCCCAGCCAAAAAATCGGCTTCCTGCTGGTGTGTATGGGAATTATATGGTCACCTAAGGCATATTATAAACAATGTGCTCCCGTTCTCTTGATAAAGTTCCAGCGCTTTAACTGTATTTTAAAATATTGGTATTTTATGCTTATGATTGTATATTATGATATGTTTTAATTGTATTTTTTATGGAAAATCTGTAAGCCGCCCTGAGCCCACCTTTGGCGGGAAGGATGGGGTATAAATTAAATTTAAAAAATTAAAAATTATCCTTATTATAAAGCACTGTTCGTGTTGCTCTTGCCTCAGAGTTCCACACGCCCCCACAGCCTTTTGTTTCCTCAGCTGCCAGTCAGAAAGGTGTCCCTGCCCACTGGCTGCATTGCCGTCGTCCCACCCTGCCTCTCGCCCACAGTGCACTGAGAGCCGCTGGACGGCCAGGATGCTCCAGTGGACGGTCCAGAGTCCGAGCCCCATAATGGCAATGGAGCAGCAGTGCTGCGCCCTTGCTCACCAGAGAATTACTTCCTCGCTCTCCGCCGCTCCGCCATCACCTCAGGCACTTGCTGGGAGGTGGCAAGCTGCTGCGGCCAAGAGCTGCTGCCCGCGCCGCACCCTCCCTCAGTTTGCAAGCCCTGCACAGCTCCCGGCCTCCGGACTGCCAAGGCTTCTCCACCCCCTGCCCCCGCCAGCACCAACGGCAGTAAGCCCTGAGCTACTCTGCCACAGTTCCCAGGGGTAAGTGCGTTCTCTGCACATGCACAAGGAACACATTTTTACTTTTGGGGGGATTTAAGTATCCCCCGTATAGTTTTTTAATCTTTTCAGGTTTTTCTGCACACCTGGGGACTGCCCCAAGTGTGCAGGAAAATCTCTCTGCCCCCTATGTGCCCCCAATGTGCGGATTTAGATATCCACACAGAGGGGGGCTCTTGGCTATTAGTATATAGATTCCCTGCAAGCAGGGCTCAGAGCGGCTTACATCAAATAAACCTAGAGATACTCCATTAAATCACAATTAGTAACTACTAAGACAATATACTTCAGACAATACAACCTCATTTTTTAAGATGGCGAAAATTTCTGAGTGAAGGGGTGTGGGGGCTGGGTAGGAGGGTACGAGAGTGACAACCGTCACTGTTCTCGACCAAAGGCCTGATGGAACATCTCTGCCTTGCAGGCCCTACAGAAAGGTAGCAAAGTCCTTAGGGCACAGATATTTTCAGGCGGAGAATTCCACCAGGCAGGGGCCAGGGCTGAAAAGGCCCTGGCCCTAGTCGAGGACGGCTGGACCTCACTCGGGCCAGGGACCACAAACAGATTCTTATTGCTGGAGCATAATGCTCTTCCGGGGACATATTGAGAGAGGCGGTCCCAAAGGTATGTGGGTCCCTGACCACTAAGGGCCTTAAGCTGGAGTTGGCAACCCTGTCTCAGTAGTCTGAGAGCAGTTGGAATTCCGGGAGATCTCTAGGCCCTTCTTGGAGCTTGACCACCCTAGTTGGAAGCCATCCTCGCGCCCAAGGAGACTCCCTGTGTCGCAGGAACTTGGTGGAACTTGGTGGAACGATACCAGCCAGTACTTTAGATGGCATGTTGGACACAAGGAATTGCGCACTGTAAACTCTCCTAGTGACTCTTCCGCAGCGTTCACGGGTGTGTGAATGGGGGCTAGAAACTTGACAATGAGGGCTAGAAGCCACAGCAATGAGGACTAGAAACTCTCTGTGGGATCCCAGTTAATCGGAGCAGCAGATTTTATACGCCTGTTCTTTTTTAAAAAACTTTTATTTATCATTTTTCCAATTATTTACAAGCTTTCCTTCCTCCAATAACTTGAGTCTTATCTAAGCTTACATTTGAATCTAAATTTTCCCATATTTCATGAATCCATTTGTATACTCTACCCCATCTTTTATTAAACACACTTCCATCTTTCCCTTGAAGGCTTATAGTTAGTTTATCCATTTCTGCTACTTCCATCAGCTTAATTGTTATTTCCCCTCTTGTTGGGAATCTATCTCTTTTCCAATATTTAGCCATTAATATTCTAGCAGTGGTCACTATATATATTAACAAATACTTGTCATTTTGATTATAATCCTCTGGTATCATGTTTAGTAATGCTATTTCCGGAGTTAACACCAATTTTATCTTCATAATATCCATAATAAGTTTTTGTATCTCTTTCCAGTACTTCTCTACTTTCTCACATTGCCACCACATGTGGAAGAACGTCCCTGTATTTTTTTTACATTCCCAACATATTTTAGACATTGACGGGTAACATTTTGCTAACCTATCTGGGGACCAATACCATCTATGATACACTTTGTAGATATTTTATTTATTATTAGTCGCTCTTACATATTTTAGTGATTTCCATGTACTTGACCATTGGTCTATTTATATGCCTGTTTATATCATGGCGAGCATTCACCCTGAGCTTCTCTCACAGGACACCGCCGATTTCGAGTGGGCCATGTGGTTCACTTCGTTCAGGAACTTCATCATCTTCGCCCTGTCGGGTCACATTCTCTTTGCCAAGATCTGCTCCATGACAGCGCCTCAGGTAAGCGCCTTGTCCATCTCCTAAGTGGCAGACACTCCTTCGGCCAGAAGTCGAAAAGAGCAAGAGTCCAGTAGCACCTTAAAGATTAAGAAAATTCGTGGCAGGGTGTGAGCTTTCGTTGAGTCACTGCTCACTTCTTCAGGTATTCAGAATTCTAACTGCATCTGAAGAAGTGAGCGGTGACTCACGAAAGCGCCTCCCCTGCCACAAATTGTGTTTGTCTTGAAGGTGCTCCTGGACTCTTGCTGTTTTCCACTGCTACAGACACAGCGACGCATCTTGATCTCTCAACCAGAAGCATTAAGCAAAGAGAACAGCACCCCCTGGTGACTGACTCTAAAATAAAATTATATAAATTGTTCTATCTCAACATGCTGCATGATATCGATGTATGAAATATACAATGCATGAATTATATCACTGTCAACCACACCCGCTCTCTTGGGCTTGGTTGCCATGGGGACGCGAGTGAGTGTAGCTCCCAGTTTGGTGTAGAGGTGTAGAGAGCCAGTTTGGTTAAGTGCACGGACTCTAATCTGGGAGAACCGAGTTTGATTCCCCACTCCTCCACTTGCACCTGGCTGGATGGCCTTGGGCAAGCCATAGTTCTGATAAGAGCTGTTCTTGAAAGAGAGCAGTTTCTGTCAAGAGCTCTCTCAGCCCCACCTACCCCACAAGGTGTCTGTTGTGGGGAGGGGAAGGGAAAGGAGTTTGTAAACCGCTCTGAGACACCTTTGGGTTGAGAAGAGTGGGATATAAATCCAATCTCTTCTCTTCTTCTCTTCTTGCTGTTATTTTAGCCAGGCCCAGTCCAGCCTGGCATCTTCTTTCTCCTGGGAACTGGGGGCCATTATTTCGGCGGGTCTATAGCTTAAGTGTGATTGGCCACTGGCCATTAGGGTCCTGCTTGACTGACATATAATTGCTTGCTTCGCGTGCTTTCCCTCAGTCCTAACACAGAGAAGTTAACCGTCTGGATCCTATCGATGTCTCAGTAAACTTTCTATTCTTTGAATGACTGTTGTTGGGGTCTGACAATAATCTACAATATCAAAACAGCAGGATTTTTTTTTTAATGAGGGAATATGGGAAGAAGATGAACCGAGGACCTAAATATATGTTGTCTTTTCTCTGGTCCTCCTCGGGTCTATGTAATCCAATGTATATTGCCAGTTCTCTACTGGGAACTTTAACCCTGGTGCACTTGAGTCAGGATTGGGATCGTGTCTTACGAGGAGAAGAGAGGCTTAGGCCTCCTCTGCTGTGCTCTTTTCCTTCTCTGAAATAGTCCAAAGTGTTTTCAGTTCAGAAAAGCAGCTCATGCAGAAGGCATAAGCCCCTCCTCCCCCAGATACCATCAGGGGTCATTTCCTGCGGGAGCGCACAGGAGCAGAGCTCTGGCAATAGGGAGTCCAGGGGGCGGGCACATGCAACAAGCCCCACCCCCTGCTCCCAGCAGCCCTCAGTCGGGCCATGAGGAGGAAGAAGCAGCCAGGTAAGTTGCAGAGCCCCCCCTCCCAGCCCGCCTTCAGGTACAAGCTCTCCCTCCTCTGTGAGAGCAGATCTGCGCGTTGCCCCCCCCCCTAGCTAGCAATCCAAAACAGTCCAGTGGCACCTTTAAGACCAAGTTTTATTCTGGTAAAAGCTCTCCCTCCTCTGCGAGGACAGAGCTGCAGGTCGTCCCCCCCCCCATAGCTAGCAATCCAAAACAGTCCAGTGGAGCCTGAGCGGTGGGTGTTGCCTTCTGACACACTTCCGGTGTGGTCAGAAGCAGTGGGTCCCACCAGCAGCCCTGGGGCCCTGACAGCCGCCCCACCTCAGAGAATGGAAGACGACCTGGAGGAAGACATAGAGGGGGATGCTTATCAAATTTGCAGATGACACGAAGCTGGGTGGGATTGCCAATTCTGAAGAAGACAGAGTCGGGATTCAAAATGATCTAGAGAGGCTGGAACAGTGGGGCTCATTAGCATAACTTATTCGCATAACTTTTTTGCATATGCCACACCCCCTGGAACTTACAACTAGAGTCGCCAACTCCTGCTGGGGAAATACCTGGATATTTGGGGGTGGAGCGTGGGGACGGCAGTGTTTGGAGAGGGGAGGGGCCTCAGCATGGCGTGATGTCACAGAGTCCGCCCTCCAGAGCAGCCATTTTTTTCTCCAGGGAAACTGATCCCTGTAATGTCTGGAGTTCAGTTGTAATCTTGGGAGACCTCCAGCTCCCACCTGGAGGTTGGCATCCCTACTCGTGAGTTTGTTTGATCATGAGGACCTGGGGAAAGCCTGATGTATGGAGAGGCCCTTGATCTAAAGGTGGAAGGGGGATTAAGGTAGAGTTCCACACAAATCCTTGTTCTTAGGGACAGGGAGGAAAAGGTGCCTTTTGGTGGTGGATTCTCCTATTTGTTTGACCATGAGGACCTGGGGAAAGCCTAATGTATGGAGAGGCCCTTGATCTAAAGATGGAAGGAGGATTAAGGTAGAGTTCCAGACAAATCCTTGTTCTTAGGGACAGGGAAGAAAAGGTGCCTTTTGGTGGTGGATTCTCCATCGTGGGAGGTTCATGTATCGATTGGATACCTATTTGCTGGACGTTGTAGTTCCTGTGATGTAGTTGTAGCTCCTGTGATGGCAGCGGGTTGGGATGGATGACCCCAGTGGTCCCTTCCAACTCTGAGCTTAGATGACACCTACGCATACACATTAAGCTGCATTATACTGAATTGGACCCTTGATCCATCAAGGTCAGTAGTGTCTACGAAGACTGGGAGCAGCTCTCCAGAGTCTCAGGACGGAGGTATTTCACATCACCTACTACCTGATCTTTTTAACTGGGGATGCCAGGGATCGAACCTAGGACCTTCAGTTCTCTACATATGACAAACAAGTAAAACCCTGTAAAGGTAAAGGTTCCCTTGCTCGAAAGCCAGTCAACTTCGACTTTAGGGTTGCGGTGCTCATCTCCATTTCCAAGCCGAAGAGCCAGCGCTGTCCGAAGACGTTTCCGTGGTCATGTGGCCGGCATGACGAAACACCAAGGCGCACGGAACGCTGTTACCTTCCCACCAAAGTGGTACCTATTTATCTACTTGCAATTTCTTGCTTTCGAACTGCTAGGTTGGCAGGAGCTGGAACTAGAGACGGAAGCTCACTCCGTCATGCGGCACCCGGGTCTCGAACTGCTGAACTACTGACCTTCCACAGCCTGCAGTTCAACGTTAACTACTTGAGCCACCGCAGCTCCTGTGCCAAACCCTGTGCCAAAGGGTAAATGGACACAGATCTGACATCAAGAATCACAATACTGAGAAACCTGTAGGAGAACACTTCAGGACATTCAGTGGGGGGATCTCAAAGTAGCTGTTTTATCACAAAGGAATTTCAGAAACAGGCTAGAATGGGAGATTGCTGAGTTACAAGTGATCACAGCACTCAGGACAATGGAACCCCCAGGCCTTAACAGAGATACCAGTTTCTTATCTCACTACACATGCTAATGTCGTTCAGTTCGCACATCTCTTTGTAAACGCTTTCATTATGCTGCATGCTATTTTGCTTCTATTCACATGTCTTACCAATTGCCTTAATTCAATTTCAGCTATATTTATCGTTCAGTTACTTATGCATCTTGACTCTAATTAGCGCGTCCTGGCAACACCTTCCTTACCTTCTACTTATATATAATGGTTGGTGACTTCTGTTTCAGTGTACCTGAAGAAGTGCGCCTGCACACAAGCGCTTGTACCCAGAATAAAACTTTATTGGGTTTAAAGGTGCCGCTGGACTCAAACCTCATTCGGCTGCTTCAGACCAACAGGGCGACCCACCCGATTCTCTCTGAACGGCAAATGAAACCTTTCTTCTCTGTTAGCGCTCTCGTCAAATAATGGAATGCCTCATGGGTAGCATATTGCTGGTAGAGGTGTACAGGTTAATAAAATGTCCCTTTGACTCCCTGCAGCACCGGTCCGTGATTTACATGGTGTACGGGGTAGTGGCTGTATTCGGCACAATGGGGAGCACATACCTGATGATCGTCCTCGCACACTGTTTGGTGCTGTACACCGTCGCGCTGGCTAAGCAGAAGTGGCTGTGCTTCGTCGCGGGGCTCTGTAGTCTGGCCTCCTTCAAGGTGGAGCCGTTCAGCACTTGGCAGGTACATGGATAACGGCCCGTACGTCCTGAACGGGGACTTTGTATAGGGCTAAACCAGGTTTTAATTTTATTTAATTTTATTTGATTTCATTTATCCCCTGCCTTTCTCCCCATGAGGTTCCCCAAGCAGCTTATGTTGTTCTCCTGTCCTCCATTTGATCCTCACAACAGCCCTGTGAGGTTGGTCAGGCTGAGGGTAGGTAAGACTATTTCCACAGTAGTGAAATTCCCCACATTGGCATTTTTTGAGAGCCAGTTTGGTTTAGTGGTTAAGTGCGCGGACTCTAATCTGGGAGAACCGGGTTTGATTCCCCACTCCTCCACTTGCACCTGCTGGATGACTTTGGGCAAGCCGTAGTTCTGTCAGAGCTGTTCTCTCAAGAGCAGTTCTTGAAAGAGCCCTCTCAGTCCCGCCTACCTCACAGGGTGTCTGTTGTGGGGAGGGGAAGGGAAAGGAGTTTGTAAGCTGCTCTGAGACTCCGAGTGACGGGCGGGGTATAATCCAATCTCTTCTTTCTCTTCTTCTTCTTTTTAAAACTGCATGTTATGTGAAATTTCCCACAGTAGGTTTTTCCTCACCAGGTGCAAAACCAAAGTTTTCTCCTCGTTACCGTGCGTTTTTGGAACTCGCTAAAAGTAGGGATGTAAGATCTATGAATCAAGGTAAGCTTGACATGGTCAAAAATGAGATGACAAGACTGAACATCGATATCTTAGGAATCAGTGAACTACAGTGTCATAGATGCAACGAACATGGAAATGGAGCAAACTTCAGAGGACGACGGAAGACAGGAAGGCCTGGCGTGATCTGGTCCATGGGGTCGCAAAAAGTCGGACTCGACTGTGCGACTGAACAACAACAAAAAAAGTAGGGATTCCGAAAACGTGGGTTAAGAAGGCGAAAACTTCGGGTTTGCGCCTGGTGAGGAAAAATCTACTGTGGGAAATTCCACATAACGTGCAGTTTTTAAAACGCCAACGCGGGGAATTTCACGACTGCAGAAAGGTTCTGACCGGCCCACAGTCACCCCAGCAAGCTCCCGCGGCAGATCATAAGAGCTGCTCTAGAACAGCGAAGCGGCAGGTAGAAATTCATCAGGCTGAGTCTTCCTAAACATCTGTTGTCCGACAGGGAAAGGAAGGCAAGTTGCCACCTGGTCTAGCGGCCCTCAGGCCCAGCAGAGGTCTGATCCCGAAGAATGGGAATGTGTGGTAAGAATCACACATTTGCAAGGTTAATGGGGGGGGGGGGAAATCCATGTTTAAAACTTAAAATTTAAATCAGGGATTTTTGAAGGGAACGCTCCTGTCCTCCATTTGATCCTCACAACAGCCCTGTGAGGTTGGTCAGGCTGAGGGTAGGTAAGACTATTTCCACAGTAGTGAAATTCCCCACATTGTCATTTTTTGAGAGCCAGTTTGGTGTAGTGGTTAAGTGTGCGGACTCTAATCTGGGAGAACTGGGTTTGATTCCCCACTCCTCCACTTGCACCTGCTGGATGACTTTGGGCAAGCCGTAGTTCTGTCAGAGCTGTTCTCTCAAGAGCAGTTCTTGAAAGAGCCCTCTCAGTCCCGCCTACCTCACAGGGTGTCTGTTGTGGGGAGGGGAAGGGAAAGGAGTTTGTAAGCTGCTCTGAGACTCCGAGTGACGGGCGGGGTATAATCCAATCTCTTCTTTCTCTTCTTCTTCTTTTTAAAACTGCATGTTATGTGAAATTTCCCACAGTAGGTTTTTCCTCACCAGGTGCAAAACCAAAGTTTTCTCCTCGTTACCGTGCGTTTTTGGAACTCGCTAAAAGTAGGGATGTAAGATCTATGAATCAAGGTAAGCTTGACATGGTCAAAAATGAGATGACAAGACTGAACATCGATATCTTAGGAATCAGTGAACTACAGTGTCATAGATGCAACGAACATGGAAATGGAGCAAACTTCAGAGGACGACGGAAGACAGGAAGGCCTGGCGTGATCTGGTCCATGGGGTCGCAAAAAGTCGGACTCGACTGTGCGACTGAACAACAACAACAAAAGTAGGGATTCCGAAAACGTGGGTTAAGAAGGCGAAAACTTCGGGTTTGCGCCTGGTGAGGAAAAATCTACTGTGGGAAATTCCACATAACGCGCAGTTTTAAAAACGCCAACGCGGGGAATTTCACGACTGCAGAAAGGTTCTGACCGGCCCACAGTCACCCCAGCAAGCTCCCGCGGCAGATCATAAGAGCTGCTCTAGAACAGCGAAGCGGCAGGTAGAAATTCATCAGGCTGAGTCTTCCTAAACATCTGTTGTCCGACAGGGAAAGGAAGGCAAGTTGCCACCTGGTCTAGCGGCCCTCAGGCCCAGCAGAGGTCTGATCCCGAAGAATGGGAATGTGTGGTAAGAATCACACATTTGCAAGTTTAATGGGGGGGAGGAGATATCCATGTTTAAAAACTAAAGTTTAAATCAGGGATATCTGAAGGAAACGCTCCCCAGGGCAGGTGCAGAGGTGTCCTTAGCCGCAGGCGAGGCTCTGAAACGAAACTCTTTTCCTCGGTATACGTGGTAACTATTCTCTTTTGTCCAGAATGGGTTTGTAACAGGAACTTTTGATCTTCAAGATGTCCTCTTTTACGGAGGAACCGGCTTCAGCATCATGCGCTGCATGAGCTTCGCTCTGGAGAACTGCGAGAGGGCGGACGGGAACTTCTCCATCTTCGCCCTGCTGAAGTACAACTTCTACCTCCCCTTCTTTTTCTTCGGGCCCGTCATGACCTTTGACCGATTCCATGACCAGGTGGGTGCAGGCCTCCCTCGGCGAGCATCGGGAGTGACAGGAATCTATGACCTGTGGCATTCATAAAAGCGCTGTCCCCAACCTTGGCTTGCCAGTCCCCTGGATGGGACGGAGTATCCCCCTGCCTCCGGCGCCCATTCCTGCCACCATTCCAAGTGGGGATAAG